TGCATTAATACATGTATAACATGTACCTTCAAAATGTACTATCATCAGGTTGCTCTTCAAAAGAAGGTAACATATAGGGAATTAATTACATTTTCCCTTTCCCGTTATTATCCCTTAACTCCGTGATTCCTACAATGCATATTTTTTAAACACAAAATGAGGGTTAGACTAGAAGGTCTAGTGAGGAAATCCCTTCTTTGCAAATGCAGGGTGATGAACACCAAAATCTGATGAAATATCTTTTACAAAGAAGTAATTGCATTTCAGCTAAAGAGTGTAATGTGATATGATGATCAAAATATGTGACCAATAGTTTGCTTCAAGACATAATCCAAATTCACCTCTTTAAAACCCAGAGTTAAAATAGAACTCTAATTTTAACGGGCCAGAGCCCCTCTGGCTCAACGGGCCAGAGCCCCTCTGGTTCCACAGACCAGAGTTCTTCTGCCTTTACCAACCAGAGCCTCTGGTTTTACTAACCAGGGCCTCTGTATCTAAGTGAACAATAACCAACCAGAGATCCTCTGAACCAAATAAAACCTCTGGTCCAAAAGAGTATATCTTAATTTTAAAAAATAAAATTATGATATAGAACTAAGATAACAGAGCATCTGTATGAAACATACAGAGCCTTTGGTTTATAAAATATCCCAAAGTATTTAAAGACTTTTCACATAACCAGAGGTCCTCTGGTCTTTGTATAAGACCAACCAAAACCCCTTTGTATGTACTAAAACTTTGATAGAAAAACTTAGGCAATGAAAGCCTCTGATGACAAATCATTTTCTCCTTCTCAATAACATCTAAATTATTATTTCTAAAAAGAACAATATCTCTAATTCACCAAGTCACAAAGAAATGTTGATTTAGAGTTATTGTATCTAATTAGTGATAATAACAAGTGTTATAATAATATCCACATCTAACAATGCCTCCCTTATTCCATGGTACACCTCTCCTTGATATGCTACCCTTATTCCTTCTGTAAAACAGGGCTACTTGTCAGAACAGAAAAAATTCACCACGTCTCGAAGTACCCATCTCCCAGTTTCAAGCTAGAACAGACAAATGTCACCACGTCTGGGGGAACTACCTCTTAAAACAAGTTTCATTTCAGAACAGACAAAAGTCACCACGTCTGGAAGAAACATTTCTCAAAACATAGTTTCATACCAAAACAGACTTATGTCACCATGCTTGGTAGAATCATTTCCCAAAATACAGTTTCATACCAAAACAAACTTACATCACCATGTTTGGTAGAAAGATTATCTTTTTCACTTTAAAAAGATATAAAATACCCCTTTTCATAATAATAATAATTTAAAACCCAAATAATTGTTAAATTGTGAAAATCCCATTAATTCAAATTCAACACTTAAGCTTGTACGGATAATGTGTATCCAGACAAGCTATTCGGCCAACACATGTCCAGACAAGCTTAGTCGAACTCCATATACAATCGACATATTTTAAACAATAATCACCCTATGTGAATACCTCCCTTATCCGAACAATAATTTTCTAATATCAATAAACCCTTAACCCGGTCAACACTATATTTGTACAAAAACAATTGGTTAAACATAAAATTCTTAATCCGGATAACCCTTGACCAGATATACCCTTATTGGAGAAAGAGTGTTCGGGACGATCATCCTCCGGTCAATACTTTAGCTGGACTTTGCCTTATCCGAACAATACAGTAACTGGATACCTTCTAATCCGGTAAACATTATACCCGGTGAAGTATCTTAGTCCGGTCATAGGATGAATTCAAGAACATATGCAACATTGTCAATGTAATACTAACACCAAGATAATAACCAGTATCAAATCGTATTGCAAAGGATGTTTTGAAAATACTCACCTTATGTTGATTCAGATTTAGAAGATGAGAATACTAAATATGAATCCAAATCTTTAGCTTTCTAGATTAAGTAAAATCCACAGAACCCTCTTTCTCACTCAAAATTCCCAAAACGGCAAGAGTTTGCCTCATACCCAAATCAACTTATTTATATCTTTCTATAAAAGAAAGGCGGTCACCTACACCCTTCTTATGCATGCATGTATAAAACCTACATACATAACTTATGCATGTAATAAATTCATGCACACACACAATCACATCACATGCATATATATATATATATATACATATAACATATAAACATATGCATCCACATATTAAAATCATGCATATATTCCCATGCAGGAAAATACACATACTCACATATTAGATTCATGTAAGCATGTATCTACATAATCAATTAATCACATATTCATATATTCATGCAATCATATATCAAATAATCACATAATAAATACCTCAGGTGATAACCAGAACTCGGTTATCACAACATTACACAAAGGTTGATGTGAGAAGCACAAGAATACTATAACGATGCGGGAATACTATTGTTATAAGTTCCAGATTCGTTAGAATGAGAATGTACTTCTATTGGGGGGAAGGTTGTTACAATAGTTCGTGGTAGATATCTACATCAAGATTGAGACTTCACGTTTGGATTTTTGTCAGAAAAACAAAGCCAAAATAAGAGTAGTTTTGTACCAAGGTATTGTGGATTGCGTGAACGCCGGTGAGGTGATACCAAGTAGAATCGAACAACGGGTTGTGTTTCCTGTAAGTTTCATCGGAGGACCTCGTGATATGCGGTGATAATTTCTTGATGCCATGACTTTAGTTTAAGATGATGGGAAGCCCGATATATTTCTTACAATGAAGTACAATTCAAAGTAGCCTGAAATCCTTAGAGAGCTATTGCCCGGTCAGACCGCACCTAATCGGCCAGACCTTGTTGCAAGAGTTTTTCATGCCAAACTAGAATATATGAAAGACCAACTCTTCAAAAAGCACATCCTTGGAAAGTTGGGGCATATGTTTATGTCATCGAGTTTCAGAAGCGTGTTTTGCCGTATGCACATTTCCTTCTGCTAATGACACCCGAACACAAAATGACCAATCCAAATCATTACGGCAAGAGTGTGTGTGCTAAAATTTCGGACCCAAAAAGGTATCCCCAAATGCACGAACTGGTTGTCCAACACATGATGCATGGTCCTTGTGCTCATTTACAATCGTCCAATCCTTGTATGCAAGGTGAGCCAAAAAAATATCGTTTTAGATATCCTAAATAGTTCAACGACAAGACGATACAGGCTGAGGACTCATATCCATTATATCAACGGAGAAATAGTGGAATAAATGTGAATGTATGAGGCAATATCCTGGATAATAGATGGGTGGTCTCGTATAAGCCGTAGCTGTTAATGATGTTCAATCGTCATATCAATGTTAAGGCATGCTCGAGTAAAACAACTGTGAAGTATATATTTAAGTATGGTTACAAGGGTCATGATAAACAAGTTGTTCATATTGATTCAGAGGAAAAAAAGGGTCGTTATTAACGAAATTAGAAGGTTCCAAGATGCACGTTATGTCTTCTTGGGTCGTTGACCAGCATCTTCCTAAATCGAAACGTGGCGATGGTTGTTATGCTATAAAGAAATAAGTTGCGCCTTCTTCACCAGCAACTGCTTTTGGCGTAGTGGTAAGCGCTTGGATCCTAACATGTGGTATCAGAGCAGGTCACCGGTTTGAATCCCATGAAGTTCATAATAATGCCAAAGGCATGTTGTGCAGCCCTTGACTTCTAGCGAAGATCTTGTTAGTGTTGGCAGATGCTGGGGGGAATGTTGGGTCGTTGACCAGCATCTTCCTAAATCGAAATGTGGCCCTGGCTGCTATGCTATAAGGAAATAAGTTGTGCCTTCTCCACCAACAATTGCTTTTGGCATAGTGGTAAGCGCTTGGATCCTAACATGTCTCCCCTCCCGAGTCGATATGGCGAATTTTTAGCTTCACACTTTCTCAAATGCACCCTTATGTGATGGCGTTGTAACTCTAACCCTCTAACAAACAGATGGTTAGGTTTAGAGATGACGATATAATGATAAATATTGTTGATAGAGAGAGAGAAGCAAACAACGTTGACTGCATTTTTTGGTAGAAATAGAACCGACATGAGTGCAAAACAATATTTGTACAAAGATTTTCCAAAACACTACACGTGGAATTGGAGCTCATGTCGATGGTTCCCCGACAATGAGGATCAATGAAAGTTCGATTGGTGTCTGCAAATCCAGCTAAAGGAGAGCGGTTTTACTTACGCCTACTTTTGTCTCATATTACTGGGCCTACTTGCTTTGAAGATCTATACAGTTTCAACGGCTTATTGCACCCTACATTTCGTAAAGCATCTCTTGAGAGGTTTAATATAGAACGATGACAATTTATCCAAATGTCTTGCAGAGGCCTCCTTATTTCAATTTCTGGTTGCTCTTAGGAGGTTATTTGTCACGATGTTGATTTATTGTGAGCCATGATATGTTCTCAAGTTATGGGATGACCATTATGATTCACTTTTTTAAGATTATATGCGACAATGTGAAAGTACTAATTGAGTCTGTAATATGGTTCTAATTGATATCCTCGTTTTTCTACAATCTATGGGTAAGAGTCTTGATGATTTCGATCTTCCAATGGTAGATTCAAATGTCAATTTTCAATCTGAAGAATTCCGTGAGGTACAATAGGAAGGCTCTATAGTCGTGGAAGATGAACACTTGCATCCCCAATACTCTTTCAATTCCAACCAGAAATATGCATATGATGAGATCATGAGGCACGTAGACGATGATTGTCCAGGAGTGTTCTTTATAGATGGTCCGGGTGGAACCGGGAAGACATTTTTGTACAAAGCTTTGCTTGCCAACATCCGTTCACGTGGTCTTATTGCTCTCACAACCGCTTCATTTGGTGTTGCTACCAATAATATGCCTGGAGGGAGAACAACTCACTCTAGATTCAAAATTCCTCTCAACCTTGATAATAACTCAATGTGCAACATAAAAAACAAAGTGGGGCTGCTCAATTGATTCGAGATGCAAAAATAATCATTTGGGATAAAGCGTCGATGGCAAACAGGCAAGCAGTGGAGGCGTTTGATCGAATAATGCAAGACATCATAGGGGTGGCACTCCCATTCGGCGGAAAGATAATGGTTTTGAGGGTGATTTTATACAACTATTACCGGTCGTTAGGCGTGGAATCCAGGCACAAATTGCAGATTCTAGCTTAGAGATGTCACCTCTTTGGCAATGATTTAAAAGATACGGTTAACGCTCAATATGAGAGCACACACTGATCCGCGATTTTCAGAATTTTTATTAAAAGTCGGTGATGGAGATGAAGATGTGGTGGACGAAAGCTTTTTTCGCATACTGGATGACATGACCATTCCCTATACTGATAAAGGTAAGTCAAAAGATGCGTTGATTGACGCAATCTTTCCATCTCTGCAAATCAACGAAGCTGATTCGGATTATATCATTTTGAGAGTGATATTATCAACTAAAAATGAGAATATCGATGAGATTAATGATCAGTTGATCGACAAGTTTTCTGGAGATGAAAAAATATACTACAGCTTCAACGAAGCAGAAGATGATAAGAATAACATATATCCGATGGAGTTCTTAAACTCTTTAATTGTTAGTGGTTTGCCTCCTCATTACCTGCGTCTCAAGATTGGATGCCCAATAATACTGTTATGAAATATCGATCCCTCCAATGGATTATGTAATGGCAGTAGATTGATATGCAGAGGCTTTCAACAGAACGTCATCGATGCAGAAATAATTGTTGGTCAACATGTTGGAAAGAGAGTATTTCTACCGAGAATTCCCTTGTGTTTGTCTGAACACAACATGTTCCCATTTAAGCTAAAGAGAAAACAGTTTTCAATTCGGTTTAGCTTTTCTATGACAATTAATAAAGTTAAAGGTCAAACAATTCCGAATGTAAGTGTTTATCTATCGAAATCAGTATTCTCACACGGGCAACTTTACATGGCGTTGTCTAGAGGGATATCACGGGGCAATACGAAGGTGTTAGTGAAGCCTGTTAAAATATTCAATCGTGCCGGAGTCTACACCTCAAACGTCGTCTATCAAGAAGTTTTACGTGATAAATAAGGTATAATCAACAATTATATTATTACACATTTGGTACCATATGTTTCTATTAAAATCATTGTGTTGTTTTTTGCAGGATATATTTACGGATGAGTGCATCACGAAAACTAAATAGTTTGGATATACGGATGAATATTATTTACAAATGATTGTATTTCTTCGTTTAGTCAAGAATTACAAGTTTTGCAATGAGCTCTGAGTATATGGGTTTAGAAACCCAATACGTTGCAATTATTTTTTCATTCGATCTTGTTAATACACCGTATTAACCTTCAACTTATATATTAGTTGACTTGCAAATTAATCACACAAACTCATGATTCAAGGCCAAACTAATGTTTCTGAATTATGATTCACCCACAGTGCTCGCGTGGGTATGCCACTAGTATATATATATATATATATATATATATATATATATA